CCCGAGGCTGGATGGACCTTCCATTCACAGCTCAATGTCTTCTGTCTGGGGTGGCTGCTCCGCTGCCTTCTTAAAGAGGTTGGTCCAGAAAACCACTTCCTTGTCCTTCAGCTTCTGGGCCGCCTGGGTGTTGGCACCAATCTGCAGGTACCCTTCCTTCTGGTTGTACTCTGGCCAGCGGGGCAGCCCTTCCCCATTGGGGTTTCTGGAAACAGAATCAAATAGAATTGCCCCAAAGCTGCTGTGTGTTCCCAACAATTTTCTGAGATGTGCGAGGATGCCCAAGTTATCTCTGTCAAGAGGCTTGTATACCTCCAGAGATGGGGAGCTCACTATCTCCAGGTGTGGCCTCTCCAATTTTAGAGAGCTCTCATTGTCAGAGTGCTATGGTCACAGGGTCAGGAGATTGATCACTAGAACCTTAGAAGCTGCCCCTTCCCAATAGGCATGCCCTGCCCCTGATCCTCACCAGCCCTGCTCCATCTTTGCCACCAGCCTCACCCACTGCGAGCAAAGTTGGCCCAGAATTTCATCATCATCTTGCTGAGTCTGATCTCCTCTTCTGAGGCACCCTCTGTGGGGAAGAAGAAAAAAAGCCTTTGTGACTCAAAGTGTGATCTGCAGACCTGCAGCATCAACATCACATGCGAACCTGCTAGAAACATAGTCTTGGCGAATGCTCCACACCCACTGAGCTGAGGTCTGCAATTTTAGAAAAGCCTGGTGGATTTGTGTGTACTTTTCTATTGAGCACGGCTGACCTAGGGCTCGGCAATGGGCATGCATCATTCTGTGTGCTTGTCCCACTTCCCAGGGTTGCTCTCTCTTGTGTCTTTTCTCCCTCTCCTGCACACATCCACAATTCATATTCTGAAATATAGCAGAGCTCAAGGCTCCTAAGGGTGTACAATTGGGACATGCCAAGCGGAGCTAGTGCATCCTGAGTGCCATGGGTGAGTCCCATGTGATCTATAACAGCTGAGAGTTAAGGCTTAGAAGACATTGTGAAAGGATTTTTTAAAATATTGTATAATATAAACTAAAAATAAAATCCTAACACCCTCAACTCACTGAACTGACCCTCTCTGGTCTAAGGGGAGCCCAGAAAAGCCCTAAACTGAGTTCCTGCCTGGAAACAGACAGGCAGTCAGACACACCTCATAATATCCCTTCCCTTTTGTGGTTTAGACACCACTGGACCAACATCAGCAATAAAATAAAGGTCATCATTCTGACAGAACACACTCTTTGTGGCAATAAGACATCAAATTAAAAAAAGATCTAAGACCATGCCGGGCAAATGTTCAGGCCTGCATCTCTACCCTTAAAGAATCCACTCTGTTCTCACTGCTGCAGGGTGCTTCTTTTTCTCTAGCAGCTAAACCAGCACTGGCCTGGAGTTAAGCAAACTGAAAACAATTACAACGGCTGCAGCTTGGAGACAGGGATGAACAGAACCCTGACCTGCCAGCCTTAACTATGGCTTTGATTGCATAAGAGACTGATTTCAGTAACTTTCTCCAGATAAGAACATCACCAACCATGCACTGGACCTGGCTGGTGTACAGAGTCTGCTCACTTGCTGGGCTTTGTGTCCTGAGAAGACCTTTGGACTTATAGGCCCTAATCGTAATATAATATTAAGTCTCCATTACCAGGTGAACATGGGCCACATTACATGCATGTTAGTTTAATACACATATGTCAGGACTATCTTCATGAATATCCATTGCTCCCCCTGTAACCTGTTGAACACGTATGTTTAATCAATCCATTTACGTAAAGCTCCTACGCAATCCCACCTC